GAGAAGTTTGGTGCATTTCCTGTTTTTTAACTGCATTTTTTTTTTTTTTGCATGAGGACAGGCTTCATCCTATCAGGTAGGGCAACTAAATTTGAATAGAAATCCTGCAGGGACTTTCCTGGCAGTTCAGTGGCTAAGATTCCACGATGCTCTCAATGCAGGGGGCCTGGTTTGATCCCTGGTCAGGGAACTACATCCCACATGCCTCAACTAAGATCTGACAAAGCCAAATTTAAAAAAAGAAAAGGAACCCTGCAGCCTTGCTGGCTCACTCCAAAGTCTACTGGCTTAAAGAATAAGACAACCAAATTCAGAATGACCAGAGTAGACAGAAAGTGAGGGAGGGGAATCCAAGAAAGGAGAGCTGGAGATGGGGCCTAAACATTCTGTGTAAAACTGCACATCTGTGGTTGAGCCTGCAACCAGGCATGTACCAGGAAAACTCCAGGCAGCCTGGCTAAGCTGAAAGAACTGAAAAGATTTCTGCTGTTACCCATTGCAAGGGGAGTGGGGAAGCATTGGCAGTTTAATTCTTGCCACGTGAACTCTCTTTTAAAAAATTAGCACTTTTCAGAGCACATAACAGAATCCAGAGTCTCTAAAATGTGTTATTCACCAAGGTTATGATACAATCCAAAACTACTAGGCATCATGCATTCATCAATATCAATGGAGACTGACCCTGGAAATATCCCGATGTCGGGGATTAGCAGGCAAGGGTTTTTCAAGAGGTAGTGTAACTACATACAAAGATATAGAGGAAAATGAGCTTTTAGTAAATGAACAAGTAGGAAATCTCAGGAAAGAAACTATTAAAAAAAAAAAAAAGAACAGCAAATTCTAGAATGGAAAAAAAATGAATAAAAGATTAGATGAGCTTAAGAGCAAATTATGGATGACCAATAGACTCAGTGAAACTGAAGATGGATACATAAAAATTATCCAACCTGCAAAACAGAGAGAAAGAATCTTTTTAAATGGAAACAGTCCCAAGCAACTGTGGGTCAATACTAAAATGTCTAACATATGTAGACAGGCAGACCTCAGATACACTGCAGGTTTGGCTTCACATCCCTTGCAAGATAGTGAGTCACGTTTTCTGTTTTCCCAGTGTTTGTGATAGTCACGTTTACACATGCTGTAGTCTATTAAAGTGTGCAATAGCATTATGTCCACAAAAACAGTGTACTTACCTTAATTTAAAAATATTTTACTGCTAAAAAATGCCAGGACAATTACAACAGTAACAACAAAGATCACTGATCACAAATCACTGTAACTCGTCATGAAAAAGTCTAAAATATTGAGAGAACTACCCAAGAGTGACACAGAACATGAAGTGAGCAAACGCTGCTGGAAAAAACGCACCAGCAGCCGTGCTTGAGGCAGGGGTGCCGCAGAGCCTCAACCTGAAAAAAAAAAAAATGCAGCATCTGTAAAGAGCAATAAAGCAAAGCATAAAACAAGGTCTGCCTGTCACAGAAGTCTAAGAAGGTAAGTGTGGAAAGGGGCAGAAAATATATTTGAGAAAATAATGCCCAAATATTCCCCAAATTTCATTAAAGACATACATTTACAGATTCAAGATTGGTGAACCCCAAGCAGGATAAATACAAAGAAAATCCCATCTAAGGATGTGAGAGCATTTAATGTCACCTCTTTAGATGAGATGCTCCCTCAGGGCAGACTGGCCTGTTTCTGTCTCTAGCAAGTGGTCTGCAGACACCGATGGCTAACCGTCCCCTCTGTCAGCTAGGCGTCCAGCACAGTTCTGTGTTTTACATGAGCTATTGCATTTACCTTCTTCTTAAGCCTTCAAATATGTGTTGATGAAGACACCCTTTCTGATGAAGCTCTGTAAATGACCATCAGTCAGTAAATATGTATGGACCCCTATGAAGCGCCAGGCGCTGTTGCTTGACAAACAGGCTGTAACAGTAAATATGATGCCCCCCGCCTGCCCTGCTGAGCCCTAGCTGCTGGGGGACACATGTAAATAGAGTGGGAGCCAGGCATCTAGGGACAAGTGCTAACAAGGCGGAAATACAGAGTACCTGGCAAAATGCTTCATATTTTAAAAATTGCACACAGCTAACTTTTGGTAAGAAAGTAACTCGGAAATCCACCATCCATCCAATCACTCCACGAGGAGCTGCTTGGTGTGGAGGCATTAGGGCCGTGCTGGGGCTCAGACACACAGATGGCCGGGGTCCTCGCGGAGCACAGCGCTTGGCCAGCCAGCTCAGAGCAGCGGCCGCAGGAGCCCGGATGCCAGCCTGCTCCCCTAAGGTGGCTGCTTCTGCCCCCCCGACCTCAGCTGCCACAATCCCCCGCGGCGCTTTCCCATGTGCAGTGCAGGTCCATCAGAAACCGTCCCCGGCCAGCAGCTTAACCTCACTCTGTTCTCTCACACAGGAAACAGGCAGAAAGCCCCCTTTCAAAGGATCATTTTAAGGAGTAGAGGAAAACATCTCAGAAGCTATCCATGCTCCCAAATATCAGTCGCTACAATTCAGACTAGATGTGGTTAAGATGCCAAAGTCTCCCGGGCAGGTTGCTTCCTGCTCCGGGAACGGCGTTTTCAAACTGTACCAGTCCTTTCCCAAGTCACTCGCAGAACTGCGAGTTCTTGTCTACAGAAAAATTGTGTAGAAATTTAAATGGCATCCGAGCAGTATCTTTTATTATCTAATAATGCAAAGTGTAAGTGAAGTCGCTCAGTCGTGTCTGACTCTTTGCGACTCCACAGACTGTAGCCTACCAGGTTCTTCCATCCATGGAATTTTCCAGGCACGAGTAGGGGTTGCCATTTCCTTCTCTAGGGGATCTTCCTGACCCAGGGATCGAACCCAGGTCTCCCACATCGCAGTCAGATGCTTTACCATCTGAGCCACCAGGGAATAACAGAAAGGCTAATTAAAAACCCCACCAAGCCCCAATTTCTCCCCCCACCCCAAAAGGTTAACCATACAACACTGCTATAATAAGCAAAACTGTTTAGGGTTAAAAGTGTAATTTTATTTAGATGTTACTTGTACATAATCTATAGTAAGATATACAAACAGATAAAAATTGTTTACCAGGAGGTTTTTTTTAATACCACTTTAAATTCAGTGTACAACAGCATTGGTAATACTGCAAGGTGACAGACTCTGGTTTAGAAAACAAAAATTACTTGCTACTCTGGCTGATACATTTCCATGAGTCTTCAATGGATGAAAATGTATCGTGAATTTCAGCTGCAAATTATTACAAAACTTTCACAATCTAGCCACGTGGTGCTCAGAAAAGATTTTGACATTCTAAAAATTTACTGAAATGAAAATGCTAATTCTCCAACAGTATACTTTTACTGAAGAAGATCGTAAGTGACCAAATCTTATTGTTTTAGGGCTAGACAACAGAAAATTGACTACATCATATGCGTGCAGTTAATGGGTGGTTCTGAGTCTTCTTATCCCTCTGCCTGATCCATGACATGAGAAAAAGCTTATAAGAAATTAGACTAAACAAAAAAATAAAATAACCTTACAACATAGAGCTTACTTTAAAATGTAAAATCCATAGATAGGAAATATGCATTTAAATGTTTTTCTCCATTTGTCTCGTAAATACTTCTTGAAAATGAAAATGGACAGTTCAAAATAGTCACTTTTTCCTTTTCATGTGCTATTATATTAGAAAAAGTCTGGATTTCATTTTTAGAATAAATCAGTGCTGAGAAAAATACTGTGAAAAATAATTTAAAATGGATTTTAGTCCTTTTCCATTCTCTTAGAGGCGACATAACACATCAGGGCAAAAACGTTTTCACTGGTCAGAACATCAAGTTGAAAATAACTTGTTGATTAAACTACAGGAAGACAACCAATACTTAACAGGCTCATGAATATGTATAAAGTGCCACTAATTTTACTGTGATAAGATATATATAGAAGAAATCCTGACACGGATAGTAGCTTTATGCATTCTCTCCATCCTGAGGACAGAAGGGACATTACAAAAAAAAAAAAAACAAAAACAAAGATTTACCAAGCATAGGTTCTAGAAGGACACAGATGCTTCCGTATCCAAAAGTAACAGTAAAGACAAAATACTGTAAGAAAGACAAAATATGACCACAATTTGTAAAAGTCCCAAGAAAAATGCCAACACAGCTGGCCTCTGCACTGGAGAAAAAGAAATTAAAAGAGAGGAACTGGGGAGTTGATTAATAACTACTTAGAGGCAACACAACATGGTGATGAGCTCCAACAAGCGTGTGCCTGAACAGCTGGTTTTAGCTGAAAAGACTCAGAGACAACCTTGGCCTGGGCACTTGGAAACAAGGGTAATACAGATCTGAGGCTCTTCTTGAGTTCCAACCTAGGTGGCTCAAGGCCCGTCAGGCAGCCCTTACAGGATGACCATGACCTTCCACAGGGAAGGTGACACAGACGTTTCAGGGACACAGACGTGATGGTGGGAGCAGCAGCTCCCTGGGGAGAGCTCAGCAACAACACCCCCCACCCCCGGCAGTCAGGGTCCTGCTGACATCCTACCGTCCACCCAAACATCTCTGTTTTAGCCACAGATTCCTTGGTCACAACTGAGCGTCACCAGGACCCGAGGCGCACGTAGCAGAGAAGTCAGACCTGCTCTGGGGTAAAGTGTCTTTGTACATCTGTGAAGTTGCACCTGAGATCAAAGCCTGGGGTGTTTTTTTCTTCCAAACAAACAGTTCACCTTCACCCAGCATTACAGAATCTAAGTTCTCATTCACGAGTTTCCTAGCAGTTTGTCTTGAACAGGAAGACCCGCTCAGGCTCACCTGTCATCACGTGGGAAGGGACAAGGAAGGGTTGACCCTCCCCCGGGGTACCTGGTCAAGCGTGGTGTGCTGATGACTGGTGGGAGAGGAACCCGTGCGCTTCAAGGGCTGGGTCCCTAACTGGCCACAGCACCAGGGAAGGCAAAAAAGATGCGACAGTTTCCTCTCACCTAAATGAAGCTCTCAGAACTCAAGACCAGTTGGGACCAGGTGCCACCTGGAGCCTTCCCTGTGGCTCCAAGGCCTCCACGTGGGCCCGCCTGGGATGTGGTTCCAGGAGAGAGGTTGTACGGGCTCTGCTCCCAGGTCCATGCGGGCTGGTTCCCCAGCCCCAGGGGCTGCTGAGGGTGCTGAGTGCATCCCCGTCCCTGACAACCCCAAAGGAAAAAGGGCTGTTCTCCACTTTCCTTCCTACTGCGCTGCTGAAACCTCCTACAGAAACCACCAGTGAGCACTGACTCCGTGAACGCCTGTGAGGGATCCTGCCTGAGAAGGGCCAAGTCCACATTTCACAAGGTCAGCAGAGAAAATGAGGTTCTTCAACAGAGCCTCCAGAGTGACAGAGGCCGCCGGGCCATGACAGTGCAAGCTCAGACAGCTGAGTCTCCTACTTGTCAAATCTTCCTCTCAAGAACCAACTTCTTCTGAAACACATTTTCCTTTTTTTTTTTTTTTTTTTAAAGTGGAAAACAATATCGCTTACTGATCGGAAGACACTGGTCTGTCGCACAGTCATGAATCTCGCAGACACCTGACAACAGGCAGCGTCACAAACACACAGCAAGCCTGCAGGATTTTCACGATCAAGGAGCGTGAACCCAAACGGCACTGAACGCGTTTGTGGCCGAGAGAAAGAAGCAAGAGGCTGTTTTCAGGACGATGCGATAGTTACAGCGTTATTTCCTCGTGTGCCGCACGGTTTGCTATGTTTAGTGGCACTTAAGTATTACACAGTAAATACTGAAAAAACCCAGAAGTTTTGGATGTGCAAAAGCAATCTCACATTATTGATACAAAAGTGGCTAAGCTACGGGATTATAATACCACTATCTGGGTGCTGGGACCACTGACATCGTCGACACGCCCCCCCGGCCCTGCCCGGCCCGCTGGGCACCCGTCTCAGTCGGACCAGTCGTTCTCGTCGAACTCCGAGTCGTCGTCCGAGTCGCTGTACTCGACGGCGATGCGCCGGGACAGGATGGTGGCCACGTCGTTGCCCACCGGCTCGCGCTTGGCCTCCTGCTCCCGCTGCTCCTGCACCTTCTTCAGCTGAATCCCTAGAGACACGAGACACAGCTCAGAACGCAATCCCTCTGCCCACGCCAATTAAACAGAGATGGACCAACAAGCCTATTAGACTTTTTTTGGCCTACTGACGCTAGAATGAAATGTTTTAGAAACTGGAGGGGAAATGCTTGGGAAATAGATGTTCCAGGACAAAGAAGAAAAATAAAATGTACAGAAGTCGTGACATTCCTTAAGCAATGTGCTGAAATGTAAGATAGTCAGTTACGATTCCAGTGCACATGAGCACCAAGAAAGAACATTCTAGAGCAGCACACCCCACCCAGGTAGCCACTGGCCACCAGAGGCTGTTTCAAGGTTTCCAGTGGCCCCCTGCACTGGGACAATTTTGCCAAATGAGTGTTTCCATCATGAAGACCATACTCCCGGACGGCCTGCAGCTCACTAGCACATCAAACTAAAAATATGAAAAGTCTAAGATAAGACATATCCTAGATATGAAAAACTAGATCACTGACAGGAGCTCATTTTCTTTTATTTATACTTCTGATCTTAAGTATAAGATGGAGTGAAAGAAGTATAAGTTTAAAGTATAAGTATAAAGTGTAAGTAAGTATAAAGAAGATGGAGTGAAAAAAAGAAGATCCAATTAATTGATGATCATTTTTATAATCTATTCCTAGTCAAGTAAAGCTTTCCTGAATTCTCAGTGCTTTATCACCGTGTTTACTTGGCACTGAAAAAACACATCCGCTGTTAAAAAAAAAAAAAGGAAAACCAAATGAGGCTCCTGTCACCCTCTCCTAAAGGCCATCTGGTGGAGGTTGGAGCTGATGGAAGCCGAGGCCATGGCTGGTGGGCCGCTGTCCTGGGACAGACACTCACCCATCCGGATGGCGGCGAGCAGGTCGCTGCGGGCGTCGCTGACCGGCGGCTGCGGGGCCTCCTGCCTCTTGGCCTCGGCCCCCGGGGGGGCATGCATTGGGGAGGAGGAGAGCGAGGAGCCGGCACCTGGAGGGCCGGGCGGGGGCGGCGGGGGGCCCGGGGGCGGCGGGGCCGTGACCACAAGCCCACCGGAGGGAGGGTGGGGAGGGCCGGCATAGGCGGAGCCGGCGGAGGCCGGGAAGGGGGGCTGCAGGGGCATCTGGAGGGGGCAGACGAAAGCAGTTTGTGCGGAGGGGATCACGGGTGGGGGCGGGGGCGGCGGGGGTCCCGAGGGGCTGTAATACTCCGTGATCTGAGCCGGCAGCATCCTGGCGGAGACAGGAAGCAGAGAGTCACTAGAGAGCAACGGGCAGTCCCATCCTTGGAGGGTCTCCCCCACCTTAGAGACAGGCCCCCCCCCCGCCCCCCGACACTGCGCACGCTGTCATGTGAAACACTGCAGGATGCAAATAACCATGCTTTGGACCACAGGTCATCACAAGTCACTGTGATGGGACTCAAGATGGTCTGCTGATGTGCACCAAATGATAACCACCAGAAAAGGTGACATCTGTGGAGCGCTGGACAGCTGACTGCAGCGTGAAGAAAGCAGGACAAGGCATCCTTACATGGAGCATCTCAGGAAAGGGGCTTGGAAATCTGTCTTAGCAGGGTTCTGAGGCCAATCAGATTGGCAAATTCTGTATTTTACACCCTGTCCCCATGGAAATTCCCCAAAGCTCACAAAGCCCATCAGAACATCCAAAGCTTCGAAACCCCTCCAGCCAAGAAACCTGCAGGGTTCTACTTAGCCCAGAGTTTTCCAAACCAACTGGACCACAAACTCTCTCTGCCTGACACTCGGAGCCTCGGGACACTCTGCGGGAACCCTGAGTTACAGAGAACCAATTGCAGGGACCGTCTAAGACCCTGTGGTTGGAGAGAAAACCTCTGAGGGCTGAGGGATGTACATTTAGAGTGCCACCCTCACTGCTCCACAGTGGAGAAAACCCTGTCCGTGGAAACGTGTTCAAATTCCCTAGGTGCTGACCAGGAGGGACTAACTCTTGAAAGACTGAGCTTAAGCCAAAAAGACCGCTTACCAAAACACAGGCGGTGCTTAACTTAACAAGCCCTTAACATGAGGATCATTTTTTTAGGAGATGTTTGAACTTTTCCCAAATAACACAAAACAAGAGGACCTGGTGGCAGAATAATATTTGGGTACCCAGAGATCAGGGTTACATACATCCAAGTCTAAGAAGTCCTGTGTTGCATATTATCGTTTTCTCCTTTGAAATGTGAATTCTCTGGAGCATTTGTGACATGCCGGTCATAAAACTGGCATGTCGCCCTTTGTCAAGGCCCTGCCTCAGCCATTCAAACATAAAGGTAATGTGTATTCACAAACATAGACACAAACCTGAGGCTTGTGTGTAATAAAAGGGGAGTGGCGTGACCCCACCTTTCCTAACACAGAATCTCTCATAATGGACCGGATCTGCACCCGCTCATTCCTGGCTGCATCCTGGCCTCCAGAGTTTGGCTCAGGGTTCAGTGTTAGTCACTCAGTTGTGTCCAACTCTCTGTGACCCCATGGACTATGGCCCACCAGGCTCCTCTGTCTACAGAACTCCCCAGGCAAGAATGCTGGAGTGGGTTGCCATTTCCTTCTCCAGGTTATTCAGTGACAATTCCTCATCACCCACCAACACCCCCACGCAATGGCGAGCCCCAGAGCGAGCCCAGGATGGGGTATTTACCCGTAGTCGGCTGGAGCCATAGGCGCGGGGGCCTGGGGGCCCTCTGCAGCCTGCGGTGGGGGCGGCGGGGGCTGCTGGGGCCTGTTCAGGGCCAGGTGTCGGGCTGAGGCCGAAGGGGGCCGGAACTCATGCTCGGGGGCCTGGGCTGCCGGCCCATGGGGCGGCGCATCACCTGCTCCGTAGGAAGGGGTCCCGGGCTGCGGGTGCAGAGAGTGGTTGGGGGTGGCCGGGTACGAGTAATCCGTGACATCTGATGCGTGGGACCTGAGGGCCAGAGCCAGGGGTGGGAGAAAGTGGCGTCAGTTAAGAAGACTTCCCCCCACCACCAGGTATCAGCATACATTTAAATCTGAACACGGCCAAGGCACAGAAATCACACGCTTATTCCCTGTACTATCGATAAGGTCGAGGCCCCTAAGAGCTTCCAAGCACAATGCAATCATGACTTTAGCGGCAAAGCTCCAGGGTTATGTGGTTTCAGAGCCACAGCTGTGATGTGCGTGGTCAGACAGACGGACAAGCGGCAGACAGCACAGCCCCTTCACAGCATTGCAGCAGACACGTTTGTAAGACAGGAGCCTCCAAGACAGGGCGTTGAACTTGAAAACGGCATCCAAGGTGGAAGATTTCAGTGGCGATTAAACTGACAGCATATAACTAGACCTTAACAAACGGCAGATGAATCGGGGAAAAAAAAAAATGAACGGTAAGAACAGAGAAAGAAGTCAAGAATGCAGTGAGTGGTAGTTTTCTTGAACAGGAGAAATGTATTTATGGCCAAAAGAGAGAGAGAAGGAACACAGTGCTGCAGGCAGAAGCCCTCTTGCTGCCTCCAAGGGCCACGGGAGAGAGAAACTCTGAAAGGATGCACACATCTCTGTGTTAGTCGGCAGAGTTCAGAAGGATGCTGGGACCCTGGGGGTACCGCTGGGGGAGGGGAGGGCTGGGCAGTGCCACAGGGCGTTAGTCACCCGGGTTATGGGATGTGTGGTCAGTATAGGGCAGGGCATCCTCTCGTGATGCCGAAGCGGGGGGCCACGGGGGCTGGGACCCGGAGCAAGCGGAACCACAAACCCGGCGGGCGTCCTGCGCTCTGCCGCGCCCCCTGCCTGCTGCAGCCTCCTCGCGTCACTCATGAACTCAATGCCCATCTTCCTTCTCTCCCACTCTTCTCTTCTGGTCCTGACTTTTCTCACACTTATTTGCTGGCTTCTGTTGGGATTCATCTTGTGTCTCTCTCTCTGAAGGGAAGAGGCAAACACACGTCGGGTCTTTGGAATTCAGACAGCAGCTTCCCTGGGACATCACTGCATAGAAAAGTTCTCTAAGTGGCAAAAAGACTACTGTTTTTGTTTTTTTTTCCTTTTTTCTTCCCTAATTGCAGTATAAACATAACTTGACACTCACTTCTTTTTTCCCTAACTGCAGTATGAACTGTACATTATGGTGTGCATATGACTGTCCTTTGAATTATGCCAACTGTTGGCAAGGGAGTTAAAAATATTTTCAGTGGGGGAAGAATCTGACCTGTTTTTAGTTTTAGCATATTTTAAAAATGTAAATACCTGAAACTCTATATTCCCTGATGATGGGGGCGTGGCCCCATGTGGGGAACTGTGCCATAGCCGGGGTACAACTTTCTAATGGAAACAAACTCATCTACAGGCTACAGAGTGCTTCTGATGGGGCGAGGAGCCGGGGCTGGAAATATCCTGGCACGATTCAGAGCTCTGTTCTGTAAGGTGCGGGGTGATACAGGAGGCAATGGGGGACAAAACTGGATGGAGGACAGAAGTGAGCAGGACATGCCCAATGTCGGGAATTACAGCAGGAGAGTCTGGGGGGCAGGGCTCTGTGACGGTGGTGGGCTGGAGTGGAGAGGGGGCTGACTGGTCACTCCAAGTGTCACTGCCCCTGTTCGGGGGACACCGGTGGGCTAGACAAGAGATGAGGAGGAGGGTGACCGCTGAGCGAAAAGGACCCCCCAACAGGAAGGCAGAATCAGCCCCAGGATTCATGGCACCAGTGTGGGCCCAGGGGGGTGGTCCTAAGGCTGCAGGGGCACCAGGAGCTATCTGTTAGGGGAAAGAGAATGTAGAAGAGTGAAGAAAAGATGGGACAGGAGAAGTGTCAGCAGTGGAGACTCAGTGGGAGAAGCAAATGAAGCCCTCGGGGTTCTGCAGGAGGGCAGGGTCGAGTGTCTGTGACACAGGGTCAGGCGGCTGCAACACCCGGAACAGGGTGAGGAAGGGGGAAGGACAGGGGCCAGGGGGCACCCTGCTTCCTGATCGATGGGGGGAGCAGGGGACAAGCATTTCATCCAGGCTCATCCTAAATGTACCCTTAGAATCAAACCATTCCTGCTGATCTACAAAGAGAGTGAAAACTTATCATTAGTTTGTGTGATGAGCTGAAAATGTATTACTTAAACAAGAACAAATTATATACATACCATCAAACTTAAAGCTCAAATTTCCCTCAGTTACCCCGAGTACATCCATTAAAAACCACGTTTCTAAATAACACTTCAAACAGGAATGTGTGAAAGTCGCTCAGTTGTGTTTGACTGTTTGCAACCCCATGGACCATAGCCCACCAGGCTCCTCTGTCCATGGGATTCTCCAGGCAAGAACACTGGAGTGGGTAGCCATTCCCTTCTCCAGGGGCTCTTCCCAACCTAGGAATTGGCCCAGGTTTCCCACATTGCAGGCGATTCTGTATTCTCTGAGTCACCAGAGAAGCCCAGGAATATGAGACACTATAAAATCAAAAGGTAAATAACACAGGGCAGACTTCAATTTCATTAAGTAAAAAATATACACACGTACAGAAAAAAGACCAAAAAAAGAAATACACTAAAATGCAAAAACAGTGGTTTCTCTGGTAATAGGATTATGAATAATTTTTTCCATATATAAAAATTTAATCTTATTTTATAATAATTAAACTGTTACACTTTCATAAAATAAAAAATATCCAAAATAATTTAAGGGCTATAATCCATCAATTTTATACCCAGCATGGCACAGTCTAATCTCAGATTCAAGAATGAGTATCGATTAATTCAACTGAAAGATTTTTAAAAAGTCATTTTTCCATTTGTACCTATGGAAAGAGTCATGTATGGAATATTACAAAGTATATGTTTTGCACGAATAAACAGTCACAGCTTGGCTGGAGAAAACCGAACAGCAGATATGACATCCTGGGAGCTGTCAAGTTCACATACTTCTCACCCAAAGAACTATGAGCAGAAGTGTATCTTCAGTCTTAACCTTCTACAGAGATAAACTGACACAAAGACTAAAACTTGAGGCTACAGCTCAGTTCAAGCTCCAGGAATGGTCAGATCATTACCTGATAACAGCTTGTACAGAAAAATCTAGACGCTGCCTCAGTCAGTGACCGGCAGCCCTTGTGGGATAAGTGTACTTATGGGAACTATACCCACCGAACATTAAGCATCTTCTGTACATCAGACTGAGCTAACCACGGAGGTTAATACACATTTCTTAAAACACAGATTTAATGCAAGGTCCAGGTCACTGCTGATATAAGAATCCTCTATTCACAGGTTTAAATGCCGATGGAAGAGCCCACCTTTACAGAAGCAGAAATATGAAACTAACAGTAAATCACGATTACTGGTCAGGTCTTCCAGTGAAGCCCTTTCGGGATAAACGCCGCTTACTGGCCATGTCTTTCACATCTGCAAGAAAACAGCTTTACTGAATGGCTAACAATCTTTAAAAATAAATTCCTAAGAGAATTCTCCTCCTGCAATTAGAATACATAAGATTAGCGAACTGAAGGTGGGGGGGAAACTTTGTTCATCCCTTTTGGAAAGGTTATCAAAAAGAACAATGAAGTTATTCCTTGATCACATCAGTCACTACCTACAGTCGTTTCAGATACCAAGTGGCAAAGGAAAAGCAAAATTCTAAGCAAAAGAGGCAGAGAAAGAATGAAAGGATTATCAAAATGAAAATGCCAGTCATGGGCAGGTACTAAGCCCAAATTCAGAATCGAGGTTAAAACAGTACATCTAGATTAATCAAATGATTAAGTGAAGTCACAGATGGAAAACGACGCAAAGTAACCCAACATCAAACAAAACTAAAGTATTATTTCAAACTCAAAACATACACAACACTCATCTTTAAAGAAAGTTTGGAACACACACTGTGGACCACATAAACACAAAGCTGTGCTACGTTTCCACTTACAGGGAAGCCAGGCCCCACTCGCCCTCACAAAGCATGCATGCACGCGTGCACACACACACACACACACACCTAGTGTCTGGGGACAAGGATCCTTCAGAAGACGCTCCGTGGTGTGTGCTCTGTGATAACCTGGTGTCGGGTCTAAGCTCTTTGTCATACGCCATCATATTCCATTCTTGGCGCCTGTTTCTGGCTTTTCTAACCTTTTTCACCTCCCGGGTTGTGCCATCTATACGCTTTTGCTCCTGACGTCCGAGGAGGAAGGCAAGCGTGCCGAGACAGAGGGAAGGAAAAGAGCGGGTTAGTGCGGTTGCCACGGCAGCGGTGAGCCAGGGGTGCAGACAGGGCGGGCCCCTTTCCATCACTCCCGGGTCGAGAACCTCCTGACACCCTCGCCCAACTCAGACCCAACCAAGAGAACAGAAACCTACTGATTTAACACCAACGCGTAGAAGTTACTGTGCTGCAGTTTCAAGAATTGCTTACCATCATTTTTGGTTAAGAATTCTCACTTCACTAAGATGGAGCTTCTTTTCAGTGTACGATACTTCTAGATCTATTTTATACACACGAAATACCTGCCTGCTCAATACAGAGACGTCGTTTCCCACCCTTATACTGCTCTGACTTGTTAATGTATAATTATCTGCCACAAAATAATTTTTAAGTGTTCAGTTTCAAAAGGATTATTTCAGAATACTTGAGCGAACCCTGCAACTAGCTTAACACAAACTAAAAATGAGGTAAGAACTTACCTTCCCTCTCACTCCTGCTCCAGATCTACTTTGCCAGTAAAAATGTCTTCAATAAATAACTTGGGTCCTATGCAGGTGCTTTTTTAAAGGTGAGGACACTGCTTCCATGTGTGTTTATATGTCTTTCCTGCTCCCCTCATGAAATCTAATGATCTTCGGGAAACTGATCTATGAGCCTTTAAGTCCTACGCCCCCCACCCCTTACAGCCCCTCCACACACAGCTCTGCAATGAACAAATCCAGGTAACAAGATGTTCACTACAGCTGGGGCACCTGCCAGGCCCGGACAGTACGAATGCCAAATAAGAGAGGACAGGTATCTGCCCTCATGGGGCTTGCGGTCTCACCCAAGCCGAACTCCTAACTGTCAATGGAAAGGAACCACTAAAAATTATATTTTAAAATTTTAAATGAAGATAATGCCTAATTAAAATAGCGACAATCTTCACGACTGGAGGAGCCCTGTTAGGGGCATAAACTGGTTCAGTCCTGAGAGGGTCAAGGGCAAGAGGTGGCACCTTTCAAAATTTTAAGTCCACACTGCACTGCTGGGAACTGACCCTGAAGAAATATGTGCATGGGAGTACAGGTACTCCCTACAGTGCTGTCTTAGTGACAGTTTAGAAGCAACCTAAATACTCATTAATTCATTAACTGGTAAATAGCTTAGGAAGCATCCAAACTTTGGAATATGATACAACTCCTAAGAAGAACAAAGCATATCTTTATTATATCACGGTATGGATCTGCCTGGATCTGTGTATGCAGGTTCAATTCCAGGGATAAAAAAATACTTTGTGAAGTGCGTACACCTGTATTATGAATGCACAGCTGTTACCAGAGGGCAGTTATGCCTGGGCAAGGGAGAAACTCACCCCCAAATTTTCTAAACGCATGTGTTTACTTCAGGATGGGTTGGGCATTTTACAACTGGCATTACAATACATTTACAATGTATTGTCTGAATGCTTTTAAAACCAAGAGAAAGAAAAGGAAGGTGATTTCTCTGGATTCCAACATACCTCCTGCTTGAGAGTCACTGTCTTCGACTAATTAAGAGCTATCACCCTTACTTTTAAGAGGTGAATGCTGACATGGGTAGGGACAAGTGTAGTGGTATCTGCCACTCTCTTTACAATGGCTCAGCCTCCAATCTACCCATCAATGCACAACTCACACACACACACACACACACACACACACGCTGACTATGATATAACATTGACCCTGACACATCTGCACCTGGCTACACCGCCTACATGAAGACCCCAAGGCTGTCCCCAGCTCCTTTTTACCCCAGGATGATTTCAGCTGCTGCTACTTAGAATACTCCTCTATCCTGAAGGCCCACCACCCCCTCACACACACACTCCGCTCAGCCAGCCTCTTCTGCAGCCAGCCTGCATCTCAGGCACAGGCCTCCTCCACTCTCCATGTCCTCCCCGCAGTCACCTTGCCTCCTACTGCCACCTCCCCCAAAGCCACCCGATCCCTCACTTTCCAGCTCTGCAACTTCAGCCTGACACCAATGTCGTTATTTGCACGACTTAAAAAAAATGTTTTTACACCAGCAAATGAAGGAAATTTCATGTTCAGAGACAATGGATGTCTTCTCCCCAAATTTGCTAAACTAATTCTTCTTTCAGATGGGCTTGTCCGTTCCAAATGAGAGTGTGACTTCTGGAGTTTCTAGACTCCTGGGAAATGAAGGCTACCTTGCCTAGTTTTCTGTTCCTATAGAAAGCAGAATTTGTATTAAAAATTTCAAATTTCTTTCCCTCTTTATGAGTTCCAAAGGATGGCATGACTTTTTTTAATGTCTGTTTCCCCTACTCGACTCTCATCTCCATGAGGGTGACAGTCCTTTCTTTTATATCACAGCCTTTAGAAGGCATTCAAAAAAGAACCATTATACAAATGAGTGAAGGAGAAATTCTCATCAGAATTTTATGTGTTTGAGGCACAAAGGATGAGACAAAACCACCAAGGAAGTGACAAATAATTCTGTATATACGGTAATCACACACAGTCAACTAAGACTGCTTTCCCCTGAAGAACAGTGGCGGAAAAGTTAAATATTTTTGCCAAAATGAACACTGCTGCTTCGAGGGAATTCTGAGGGACCATTTTAAAGGAGGCATGCTGTAAAGGAGAGAACTTGTAAAGTCTTGGAATTCTGCCCTGGTGCCATGAGGAGGTTTAGGGATTCAGATCCACAGGCTTTCAAATCTCTGTTCTTTCTCCTTTGGAGATATCAGCACCTTCCCATTCTGTACTTCAGTCCTTAACGGTGTCTCTGCTTGAATATTTCTCTACTTGAACACCCAGAAACTCTTCCAAGATTCCCCATTAAATTGCCCCAATGGGAGTCTCCAGGCAAGAATACTGGAGCAGGTTGCCATGCTGTTCTCCAGGGGATCTTCCTGACCCAGGAAACGAACCTGGGTCTCCTGCATTGCAGGCGGATTCTTCACCACCTGAGCCCCCTGGGGAGCCCCAAGAAGTGCACACAGACAACAATCTGAGAAATTCCCTCCCAGGATTTGAGGTAACATGTCACACCTGCAATCTGCAACCGATTGCCATGCTCCCTTTCCGAAATCCTGTTTTCAAATCTCAAGCCCTCTTCCATCCTGAACTGTCACTCCTGCTGCACCAGTACACCTATAGTTGTCTCCAACTTCCAGGGAGCCAGCCCACAAAATGCTAATAAGCTCTTAACTCACACACTAGGTGGTCATTTTTTAAAACATCGTTCATATATAAAAGGCTTGGCAACTAATTGCCTTTGGAGAATTAACTGATTTTCAGTCATTTAAGTCTATTTCTGGGCCCCAAAGGCACAATTTTCAAAATAGAAGTTCCTGAACCTGAGGGTGGGTTTGTCCCTCTAAGAGTGTTTGCAAAGCAGGTGCCTCAGTTCTCCTGCCTACGACCACCCCGCCAAAGGGAAGCAGCTCATTCTCAGGAAATACTATCCTCTCAGTGTGCTGACCACACATGCTTTTCCATCTGATACGAACCTCTCTCACCAAGGCCTTAATTACAGTTAGGTGGCGGCCCAACAATTAATAATGTTAAAAATGCCAAAAGCAGACAATTCTAACTGATAGTGGAAGGTTGACTGCTTTATGTAATTTGAAAGTGCAAGAGAAAAGTTATAAAACTCAGTGACAAACAATACTGAAATTTTTGCCACTACTTTTATGAAAGCAAAGCAAGTTTTAGAGAATAAATCAATAGAATTTATTGACAGTATTACTGTATTACTATGTTAGATTGAATGGTATCTTCACGTGAAGAATGCAACCTCTAAAAAAACTTCAGCACAAAACCCAACATGTCAACTGTTTAAAAAATGTACTGATTTTTAAATCTCTTAATTTCTAAGCAAGCATCTCAATTACACGTTTATATGAGCATTTCCCCTACTTGAATTCTTTACCTTTTGACGTCTTTTCTCTTTCCTTTTGTCTTCCGTGTCCTGTAGCATTTTTTCTTTCCAGAGGTCAAAGAAATAGGAAGGATCAGTATAGAACTTCAGCCCATCCTTCTTATCATCTCTGTAAATCAATGTATTACAAGTCAGGTGGGAAAAAAAGGTTGTTAGATATTTTCATATGGGGTAATTATTAATGTTTATTTAAACTCATGAGATAACAGCTACATGAGGAATCTGAACTATCCTATACTCTGTGAAGTCTCCCAATTTTCCTTATTTGAAAAAAAATGTGCGCACATGCAGTAACAGCAGTTTTTTCTAGAATAATTAAATAAAAACTACTCTTGAATATTTAGATTTAGAAAAATGCTACCCAAAATCACAATATAGCTCATAAACAGCAATATTTAATACCACAATTATTTCAAGGTATGTTCTGTTTATTCCAGTGGGGGCTACATATAGAGATGGATGGATCTCTTAGCACATATGTGTTCACTTCTATTCTGGAGTGACAAGGCTATTTGGATAAAAATTAGCAAGTACTCTTTTTTTAAAAATCAGGTTTGCCCAACATCTATAATTCAATTAGGAAAGAAGCAGAATATTCATGGTGCATAAATGTAACTAGGATAGAAAGTGATGACCTAGATACTTTTCAAATGGAAAGTGAAAGTGTTAGTCACTCAGTCATGTCACTTTGTGACCCCTGGGACTGTAACCTGCCAGGTTCCTCCGTCCATGGAACTTTCCAGGCAAGAATACCAGAGTGGGTTGCCATTCTCTTCTCCAGGGTTGTAAATGGAAGTAACTCACAAAGAAAATTCACTTGCAGCTATTTAGTTTTCACGAACTGCTATAATTACTATATATTAAAAAATATTTCAAGTCTTTACATGCTACTCATTTATCATAAAGTCAATAAAATGCAGCCAACATGGACCCAAAGTTGTAATACACATCAATAGCCAGCAAAGCTCAAAATAATCATGTTAAGAAGTGAACACTCTATCTGCTAATGCTTTAAAAAGAGTATGTGACCTGTATATTACCTTCAAGAGGGAGCAAAACATTTTCACTTAAAGACAGCATTTCAACTAGTCATTTGAAGCATACAGAGAAAGAAAAAAAAATCAGAGAAAATAAGTATAGAAAAGAGTTTGTGGCCCAGTAGTCAAACAAAGTGACGTGAATTACTCCAGGGAAACTGGTCTTGAAGTTCCTGCTATGCCGGTTTCTCTAAGCTTCTCAGCATCAAATGATAATTCAGGCTCTCAGGAGGGTGGTCTGGCAGTTCCCCGCCTGAAAGTTGCTAACAAACCAGCACAATTCACTCTGTACTTCAATCTTTAGTTATTTAAAATCCTCTCTCTTCCCAATTTCCTAAGTGACAAGCAACCTGCATTATTGGGATTTTATTAAAAACATTGTTGTGAAAAATATAAACTATTTCACTAAGATACTACTAGGTCATCCATATAGTTGAGGACATAGAAAAACTGAGCAGCAACTTGCTGCAATCTTAAAATGTATAAAATGCATCTTCTTTTTTCAAAAGTGGGGCTGATACTTTGATGAGGAGTTACTACTTAATGGAACAAATATGTATAATAACTTAAGCAAACGTTAACCTTGACACCAGAATATAAGCAGAAATATTCTATGTTTATCGCAACACTTGACTTTTCAGTCACACTGTAGTTATTTAAAACTGTGTTGTCACTGTCATATTTAAATCCAATTGTAAAAATTTGTGTTTTTTCCTACCCAAAATATTTCTATATTAATAAAAAGTAGATTTGAGTTGGCATGACTATTTTTAAACACACTATTAAAAGACATTTTTCTTTTCCGTAAAACTGAGTCTACACAATATATATGAACATCAATTTATTTTTATGCAATTAAAAATTTTAACCACCACAAATATTTAATCATGATCTTGATTAGTCAAATATGAGTGGTTCACTGAGTCTTCTGGGTTTCTTTTCTCCTTTATAACAAAATATTTAGTGAGGTTTCTTAGGAAAATTTTAGTAAGTTCTCATGGCTCTGGGATAAACAGAGCTGAAATTGCTCCCAGAAAAATGTCTGCTGAACAAGTTAAAAAATTGGGCTTCCCACCCCATCTCACCTCTCTAGCTTGTCACAGAGCCACAGTCTGAGTTCCCAGCGTCATATGGCAAATTCCCCCTGGCTATCCATTCTATATACAGTAGAGCGGGAGGCAGGAGGAGGTTCAACAGGGAGGGGAAATGTCTACACCTGTGACAGATTCCTGTTGATGTGCGGCAGAAACCAACACAGTATTATAGAGCAATTATCCTTCAATTAAAAATAAATTTTTAAAAGGTAAAAAAAAATAAATTAGGCTTACAATACTACTGTTCATTTTTAAGATGAGTATCTAAAGACTCCAGAAACATACACTTGTTTCATAGAAAAATATGGTATCCTGATCCTCTCCCATCACAGCTTCCATGGAATCCCGACTTCATTTTCTGGAGCATCTTTCTGTCCATGCTGAAGAAAGGGATGCAGTCTGAACAACTACTTTCCTAGCAGAGCTGCAATAAAGGACGGGTCCAAACATTTCCTTTTGCACCCTGAGAAAGGACAGGAGTTCAGACCAAGAAAACCCCTGGGCACTGCCTGAGAAGGGCCACCAGACCCAGGAGAGCAGTAATGGACATGAAGGACTCAGTGAATTCAGGAAGGCTGGGGTACCACCCAGCAGAGCTAATCCTGGGTGGCCATGAGGACCACCCCTCACTAGTCTGAGCTCATCAGAGGCTGAGAAGCGAGCTCTACGGGGGGTGAAGATGGGGACGAATTACTGGGTAGGACAAAAAGTTCATCTGGGTTTTCCTGTAACTGTTCCAGAAACCCAAATGAACCTTTTAGCCAACCCAATACATGAAAACAGGAAAGAACAGTAATGTGGCAGTAGGTCGGAGAGGAGTTCTAAAGAGCATTTTTAGTGTCTTAACAATAATTTTTGTACAATTTATTTTTCATTCTTTTTCTAGGAAGTTCAGTCCTGATAGTGAGTCCTACCAGTTCAAATGAAAGGTTACCTTCTTGATTCTATATTCACTCTTAGAAACCCCAACGCTGCAGAACACACGTTTCTGAATTAAATAACAAATGTCTGCGGGGCTGAAATGCTGAGACAGGTACTTGGCTGCATTAGAGATGAATTATGCAACTCCTTTAGACTTGACTTTGAACGTGAGGGTTAACACAATCACACACCATTACTATGTAATGTACCCTCCTCTACTCAAGATATCTGCATCTGAAAGTTAACATCAGAGCTCACACTTCCCTTGGTAAGCCTATCTGTATTTTGAAATACTCAAACTTCAGCAATTCTGTAAGTCACTAATGTCATCATGGTTGTTTTTGTTGTTGAGTCACTAAGAGTTGACTCTTTTGTGACCCCAAGAACTGTAGCCCGCCAGGCTCCTCTGTCCATGTAATTCTCCAGGCAAGAACCCACTGGAGTGGGTTGTCTTCTTCTCCAGGGCATCTTCCTGACCCAGAGACCGAACCTGTGTCTCCCGCATTGGCAGGCGGGTTCTTTAGCATCTGTGCCACCTGGGAAGCCCAATTTCGTCGTGGATAATACTGCAATTATTATTCTCAAAGTCTGAAAAGATGTTTTCACCACACTGCCCACCTCTCTCAGCTTACTTACCCTGAGAAGCTCTGGTGATACATCTGCACATGGAGGACCTACCTGTACGGTGTAAGGATGTTCAGAGGAGGTGGTTTATCGCTCTGGTTGTAAATGTCAGCAACAGGATTAGGAATGCTGTTCTTTGAAACCACCTGCTGGTCCTGGACTGTGGAACTTTTGAAAGCTTTTTTCATGTTGATATCCTGTAGTGACACTGTTTAGAGAGAAGTCCCCCAAGTTGGGTTATGTGGAAATATTTTGAACCTTTTAGAAACAAGTATAATTTGATTCACAATTGTAAACATCTCCTAGAATAGCCGAATATATAACATCTATTCTAGCCGAACAATAGTATCTATTATTGTTCATTTAAAATCATGCTTACTAGTATGCGCAACCCCTGCCTCTGATAAACAACAGTTATCTCTATAAATCATGTCTTTCCTTCTTTTGTGGCAATATGATGATTTCATTGAGCATAATTATGAGTGCATCATTCTTTACTTAAATAGCATTTCTCAGAAACCACACAAGAATAAAATTATGAGTATAATAGGTATGTAAACACAAAGATTCAGGGTATCCAGGGGGAGGGGGCCCATTCAAACAGTTAATACCAGTTTAGTTATAATACATGTGGGAAATGCATCTGTAAAAAATACATGAATGTAGAAAGTGCAGTAAGTATTTCTGACAGTAATATTAAGGAGAAATGGCAAAGCTTTTCAGGACACCTAGAGTCCTGGAAATAAAGCAGCATGATACAAATCTACACTAAGGAGTCTGAGAGAAGCAGGCTAATTACACTCATTTCTTGAATCTGAACGGCATGCTGCATCTCAGGTATTAACTCATCTGACCCTGACATGACTTTCTGAGGCGGGTGCACAGGCGCATTCACCCACTGGACCAATGAGGCTGACAGTCAGGGGTGTTAAATGACCTTTCTAAGCCTGCCCAACAGAAGAGTGGCAGGATCACATACAGCACAGATTTCCTGACTTGGTCAAGGATTCTTCTATAGGAATATCCACACCAACGAAAGTCATAAGGGAGAATACTGATTAGGAAGGGAATTTAAGGCTATGAAATGTGCTGTAGAATCTCAGGATGCTAACCTTTTCCAGGGTAAGGTTTATCACAAGCATCACAACTGCAAGAGTCAACAAAAAGCTAAATAAAGACAAGTATTTTTAAAATCATTTTTGATACCATTTGAAAAGTATATGATTGATTTAACTCCTTGTCTGAATAGACCCAGTAGCTATTCAAACTTTTCCTTAATAAAAGATACATTTAAAAATCAAATTAAAAAGAGCATGTCTCTAGCTTCCTACTTACTGTTGGAAAACTAAGAATGTTCCTAACAAATAAAATCTCAATGTTCTACGCTTGTTAAATTTTTAGTTCACTTATTTAATTTTGACCTTTGAAACAGATCTGAAGATAAGAAAATATGTTTTTTTGAGTGACGAGGGATGAATTTCATAAATAATTACATTAAAAAAAAACTTTCATTTTTTATTAATACTGCTATTGTAGGCCTAGTAGAAAAATAAGATGCTAGGATCATTTTAGTGCCAGGAGGGAAACTGTAACCACCTATATAAAGGGAAAAATAATTTTTAATCTGAGCGTTTTCTTCAAAGTAAATATAAAATGGCACATCTTGATGTGGGGGGACAGTTTTTTTCAGTCTTTTATTTGAAAGAGACAAAAAGTGAAAAATTTTTTAAGGGATTGTTAAACTTTAATTTGTTTTGAAACTATCCCAAATTCAGGGTGCATAATCAAAATGACCATCAGTTAACTACACAGCACCTGTGGATATTAACTTTGTTTTAGAGGCCTGAAACCCTTTATTTCTGGGCAATTAAGTCAGCAGAATCAGCTCAATTACTTACAATCGGTCCTAAGAGGAGCAGAGGGTACAGGGCTCTCTTACCCTGTAAGACAGTATCTTACAGTATCTGTAAGACAGATACTGGACAGTATCTTTGGAGTGAGTCTGTGATTTTTCCGGTAAGAAAGTATCTTTCTAATAACGACCAGTAACCTCCATTAGGACTTCTAACACCAAATGCATTCAGAGAGTTCTTTAAAACAAATACTGCATGTGTCGTTTATTTAAAAATTGAGTGTGGTTCACAAGATAGATCAGTTGTGACTCTTAATTACTAAGTAACCCCGCGCTGTGGGTTTTGCCCCTCGCTTTTCTTCTAGGAAAAGACAAGATGAAGGATGAGCACACAACCCCGAGGAAGCAGCAGGTGACTCCCTCCCCTCCTTCAGCATCACTTCCAGCTCCCGGCTCTCCAGGGATGACCTACCCTCTTCCACAGTGGAATCCAGCTGGGTGACCTTAACAGCGAGACGATCAATCCTGTCCTGTAGAGAGTTTGCGCGGATGTAGAAATTGTTGGCCTCATTAAACAACTCTCCGAATATGTCCTCAGCATGTTTGCCTGCAGAAGGCATGAGCAGAAGGCCGCCTGGTCAGAGCTACACTCTCACCCAAACCCAACGCCAACCTCCACACATGCGGTTTTGTGCAAATCATCACAAAATGCATCACCATCAAAGACCTGTAGGATCTTTCAAAATTTATTAGGAATACTCATACATATCCGAAAGTGACCCGAAGCTGTAGGATTTTTAAATGACCCAGATAATATAGAATTTTTACCATGAGGTTTCCACCCCCACCAAGTTGTTTCCCATTAAATTAAGCTTCTTTGGGAAAAAACTCACTCTCATTTTGTATGCTTTGCACATACACGGCTCAGGACCTGAACTTTCCTTTTACTTCCCAAGTAAACAAATTCAATTCAACAAATCATGTTGGCTTCTAAATTCAGGATTTTAACCTCATTAACAATCAGAAATATCAGATACCTTATACAGTGCCTCACACTTCCAATGGCATTAAATTCTTCTAATTCATATTTCAAAATCTAGGTATAGAATGCTGACTCTGGCCCTCCCTAAATATCAGTACATTGAATTCTGAGTTAACTTTTTCTGTACAGATCATCTCTTCTTTTCCGTGAGTGTGAGACATACCTCCCATCTTCCTTAAAGTGTAATTAGTAACATTTCTGAAAATTTCACAAGATGGGAATCAGTATCTGCTTATGCTCAATTTCCAAATCCTAACACCATTCCTTTACTCACTCAACAAACATTTAATAACTGCCTACTAAGCGTGCAAGGAGCATGACTGCTAGAGCATGACTGCTATGGTGTGAGTAGGTTTAGTGCTTTAAGAAACAGCTAAACCGTCTTCCAGAGTGGCTGGACCATTCTGCATTCCCACCAGCAATGAACGAGAGTTCCTGTTGCTCTGCACCCTCCTTAGCACCTGATGTTGTCAGTGTTTTATGTTGTGGCCGTTCTAATAGGTATCTTTTATCTTGTTTTAAGCTGCATTTCCCTGAAGACTGTGATGTGGAGCATCTTTTCACGTGCTTGTTTGCCATCTGCACATCTTCCCCAGTGAGAGGTCTGTTCAGGTCTTTTGCCCATTTCTCAAACAAGTTGTTAATTTTCTTATCCCTGAGTTTTAAGAGTTCTTTGGATATATTTTGGATAACGGCCCTTTATCAGATTATGTCTTTTGGAAACATCTTTCCCCAGTCATTGGCCTGTCTTCTTCTTCTCCACAATATCTTTTAAAGAACGGAAGTTTTTCATTTGGATGAAGTCCAGCTTATCAATTATTTCTTTCACTGTCATGCCTTTTAGCACCATACGTAAAAAGTCACAGTCATATCCAAGGTCATCTAGGCTTTTACCTTTGCTATCATCGAGGAGTTTTATTGTTTTACATCTAGGTCTAGGATCCATTTTGACTTAATTTTTGTAAGGGGTATAAGATGCGTTGACCTGCAACTTTTTATCTGCACATTCTATCAACTTATCACACAAAAGGGAAGAGAGCCTGAACCTTCCCAGAAGAAAAGTCACCTGGAGCAAGAATAACTGTAATGTTTTCACTGTGCTTTACAATTTACACGGTGTTCTCACACTCACTCACCTCAGTCTTTGCTGTGAACCCCGAGACTATAACCTCCATGAGAGTTAAGAACCACCTGTGTCCACTGGGTGTCCCCAGCTGTCCCCACCTGGGACAGAGCCTTCTGGCACCACCTGTATGATGAGTGAGAACTCATGAGCCAGACATGGAGCCGCTGCTCCCACCTTCCAGGTGACTAAGCTGAGCACCAGGTGGTCCGTCCAGACACCGTGCCGAGCAAGTGGGAGAAACAGATGAAATGACAACTTGGGTCTCCTATCTTCTGATTCCCTGCCTTAGCGCATACTTGCCTCAACTTTCTCGGCTAGAAATTAGCAACTTCCCATGAATTATCTCAGGTCATGAGACACTTGAAAATTTCCTGTTTACTTCATAAAATGGATTGAAATATTCTGCTGCTTCAATGGTTACTCCTAGATACTGGATAAGCGTCTCTTAAGAATTGAGAATTTGTATACTTTCATAAATTCTAACACTGTAACTGTCTTAATAACAGGAACGCTGTCTGAGGAAGTAAGAGTAAGAAAGGAATCAATGAATACCACTAAAACCAGGAGTGGGGACTTTGACTACGTACCTCAGTTGAGCAGTAAATCATTTCTCCCGAAGCTGAAAACCTGCAGTGCGGCTTTCTGGAGTCACCTGAAATCCTGCCGAGAGTCCCCACTTACGCAATATACAAAATGGTTCCAAAAGGCAAACCAATTTAAAAAGGGCCTTCAAATTATGCATGCTTTTAAACACTGTAATTAGATGTGGCATCCAATGGTAAGGTTTGTTTGCTGCCTTTATTATGAACTTCCTGAGCAGGCCTTGTGTGTCTAATTACCTAATACACATCTCCATGCTGGTGTCCTGTAAGAATCGCAATTCCTGGACAAGTTCTCATAGGAGCTCATGTTCCCATTAACTCAAACCCACACCCCTACAGGGAAAGGCATGGTCCGCCTGCGATGAAGCCCCAGAAAGAACGGAAGCGCCATGACTGCTCCCTCCCTCCACGGGCACTGACATCAAACCACTCCTGCCCCCCACCCCCTGGGCTCCGGCCCTCCCTGTTTCTCTCCTGAATTACATCAACAGCTTTGTTTTCCCGTGTCCAGATTCACCTTCCATTCTTAGATCTGCACATCACAATGCTGCTAGTCCAACCCTTCATGGCTGCCATCATCTCAAAACCAAACCCAAGGCTCTGAGCAGGCACAGGGGCCCCATGCACTTTCGCTCTGTCCTTTTTCTGGGCTCTGGCAGAACACACTGCCTGAACCCTCCCCGCTTGCTCACAGATGCCGTTAGTCCTCTGCGTATTCAAACCCTTCCATGATGTCACCTCACTCAGAAGGAGAGATGAAGGCCGGCAGTGACTCAGAAGGTTCTGTCGGGTCCAGTTCAGTGACCTCCCGGGCCCATCCCCTACTTCCGTCTCCCTCCCACGTTCCACGCCAACCACACGGGCCGCAGATACTCAGACACGCCCGCTCCTGCCCGGGCTTTCACATTTCCTGCACCTCCCACCTGGACCACTTCTGTCAGCCAGGTCTAGACCCCAGTGTCATCTTCTAAGGGAGACGCTCTCTAGCACCTCTAGCTAAATGGCAATCACCTCTCTGTACACACACTGACAGATGTAAACAAACTCCCACACCCCCACCGTCCCCTCCCTGCTATGTTTTTCTCTGAGCACTCACCGCCACATAATAAGTAATACACTTGTATTTAGTGATCCTGTTTCCAGCCTGCCTCCTTCCACAAGAACACATGATCCAGGAGAGAAGGACTCTATGCATCGCTGCATCCATCTCTAAGGTCTAGGGTGTGTCTGGCTTATTGTAGGTGCTCAAAAAGAGATTTGAAGAAACGAACAAAAATGCACGCACTTAAAACCTATCCTTCGGGAAGCAGACTGGGGTCCGTGAGATCAGAGGCCCCTTCCTGTGTGCGCAGATACCCAGAGGACATCTCAGTCACAGGACGCGTCCCACACCCCTCCTCTTTGGCTTTTTCACACAAGTCCTGTAAGGCGTGGGCCACGCCCCTGGTCTCTGCACTGATCGCGCTAGCCAGTGCTCAGCATCTCTTGAATAAAAACACATAACCTGTACCAGTGTTTTCATTCACAAGGACACAACCAACAAAGGCTCCCTGCTCAGGTACATTTGGGAAATGCTGGACTAGGAAGTTTAAACATGTATATGCCTCAGGCATCTCAAAACCTTCAACATGCTCGTGTGTGTTGGGGTTCCACAGGACAAGCACAGTGCACACCACCTTTTCAAACTGACTGGTTTTTGAAACACCAGTAATGCCTTTCAGACTGTTTTCTGAAGCCTGTGTGGGAAAACGCCTGCCCATTCGGCTGGACGACCTGTAGACAAAGTACCATGTTCCAAATGGTTCGGACTCAAGTCTAGCGGCTGTTTTTTCAGAACACCAGATGTAATCAAAATAGAACCAACTAATTTTTTTCTACTTGACCATTCGTGGTTAAAATAAAAAAAATTCCAGTGCAATTCCAAGAAAACTCCTTTCCCTTCAGCACTGCAGAAATCTAATTAATAGCGACAAGTGTGTACCACCGACAACTCGGGCATGGACAGCCTCTTGCTGAAGGGACTTGAATGTTCTCAAAACACACTCTGTAGAAGCTAAACAGGTTGAAAAGAATCAATAACACGGACCCTCCACCTTCATTGCTTAATCCTATTTGAAAAAACACAATGGACACTCTACTCCCCTTAGAAGTTCTCAATTTATAAAAAGAAACAGAAATTAAAGACTTGCAAACTTAATCTTCTACCAGCTGCTGGAAGCTGACAAGTGACCAAAGAGAAGAAAATGGGAGGAACTCTATTTTCTGATGAACAAGAATAAAGTATTGCAACCACAGCACTCAGTTCTAGGAACAGTAACTTGTTCGAAGAGCTTAATTTGACTCACTCTTCCAATCAAGTCCGATAATAGCTGAACTGAACTAATTCTGAATTGAATTAAAGACCATGAAGAGGTAAGAGCCACTGATTCATTCTTAACTGACAAAGAACCAATTAGGGATTTATCTGTACCACACGAGTTCGAGTCCAAGCTCAAAAAATCTTGTTGGGAAGGAAGGAAGCAAGGAATGGGGCAATGGACAGAGGGTGATCTCTCAATAAATGAGTATTTGGTAGGAAGGAGGCAGACGGGAGTCAGGGGTGCATGAGGCAGGCAAGAAGTGGGTAAACCCAGTCCTGGGATCACCACCGTAGGGCGGGCGGGACAGGACGTGCCGGTATAGAGGTAAAGCAGAGGGCTGAGACGGCAGAAGGGGGATGTCTGGTTCTCCCCTAAAACCTTTTATTTTCCCAGTGAAATAAGCAAATCATTAGCTCACTATCTGGGATGGGGGGCTGCGGGGAGAAAAGATGTGAAACAGGCAGCAAACTAATTACT